GGAAAGGAGAGAGCTTTGTGGAGTCTCTTTCTTTGGCAGCAGGAATTGTAGAGGTGTTGAAATCAGGGCTGCCATAATCTGCATTGTCCTTTGAGGAAGTTTCTTTGTGCATAGAAGTTCTTTGTGCACAAAAAGCAGGTGCAAGCTATGTTAGTAAAAGTGAGCAAGAGGCTGAAGTGGTGCGTGACCACGAGGCCAAATTCTAGAGCTAGTATAAATGCTATCAACCCAACCCAAAGCCGTTGTATAGCCTGGTCCTTGGGTCTGAGTAAGTCCTATTGTAAAGGTGTAGTTGCTCCAAGGTCAGTGTTCCCATGGTGACAACTGTGAAACCTTCTCTGGTCAGATCAAGCAAACAGAGTTACACTCAGAGAACCCAAACCAGTTTTAGCTTGATTTTGATCATGATACTGCTAGATTCTCTAGGTAAGGCTTAGTCCATTTCTGCTGTTAGAATACAACAGAATGGGTAATTTATAAAGAAAAAGAGTGGGGAGGGAGGCAGGGGGAGAGAGAGAGAGAGAGAGAGAGAGAGAGAGAGAGAGAGACAGAGAGAGAGAGAGAATTTTCTCATGGCTCTGGAGGCTAAAACTCTAAGGCTAAGGTGCAGCATCCTCGGGGAGCTGCTCTGTCTCCAAGATGGCATTTTAAACACTGCGTCCTTGTAAAGGGAGAAACATTGTGTTCTCACGTGGCAGGAAGTGGGAGGACAAGAGAGACTCGTCTCAGTCCCTCAGGCTCCTTTATCAGACTCTCTTCCTACTCCAGTCCTTAATGGAGGAGCTGTCATTACCTCTTGCGATGCCTTCTTAGCTCCCTGGAGATGGCAGCACCAAGTTTGAAGGGGCTCACTGTGACCAGAGCAACTGGAATGTTAGCATATTTGTGCCTGGGCAGCAGAGTTACTGTGTCTTTTCAAGGCCTAAAACACAACTCGTTTTCACCTGTGTATATTTAGTGACAATTGTGTAACAGATGACTTGTTCAGACTTGCAATGCTGTCTGAAGTGCTTGCAATGCTCACTTCCGGGGGCTGGATGATGTGGGAGCATTGTACACGTTGGGGAACAAGCTCCAGGGCGTAACTTGAATTTCCTTCCGTAAATGAGAAGCTATACTGAGGTTTTCAGAGGGAGAACAACAGTTCTGTCTTAAGTTAAATGGATGGTAGGAAAGCCGAGTGAGGTCCAAGGGTTGGACGTCAGGTGAGCTTGGTGAAAACTCCGTGGAAGAGGAGAGTGGGGTAAGCTTTGCGTGCTGAGTGTGAGAAGCAGCGCTGGAGACTCCCCAGAGCCCGGCAGCCTTCGTATTGGAAATAGGAGCACTGACATCTGTTGTGGGCTGTGCCAGGTTCCCAGGTGGGCCGTGAGCTCTCTACAGACCAATCTGGAGCTGACCCATGTGCTTGGGCCCAGAGTGGACGTCAAAGGCCAGGGAAGGAATGTGGTGGGAGAAGGAGCTGGAGCATCAGGAAAGAGGAAGTGAGGTGAGAAGGACGGAGACTCACAGGGCGGGAAAACGCAGAGGGATAAGCTCTGGACTGAGATGGAGACTTGGGATGTTTCCATGCCTGCTGCTGCAACCAGGGGCAAAAGCAGACCCTCACGGTGAAAAGGAACGGGGGATTTGGTTATGGAGCCCTGCTTTTAGGTGATTATCTCTCCACTCCAGTAGGGAGGACCTGTGTAGGTGGACGAATTCAGAACGGGAGCCCTTGGAACTAGCGTCTGCCACTTGCCCTCGCATTTTGACCCACTGATCTAAAGCCACGGGACAGGACGATGTAGATGACAGATGGAACAGCTTTATCTTCCTCCCCTGGCCTCAGCTAAGCCATTTATTGACCTTTCAACTAACTCTCCTCTGAAAAACAGCTGTGGTGGGATCGAGGGGCTGACAACCAAAGCCGCGGCACACCTTTCGACCTTGACCGTTAAAGTCGCGTGGAGTTGCTTCCCCGGTAACTAAGTCATTCACAGCTTGTCTACGCTCCTTCTTCGTGGGATGTGTAGAGAGGTCAGTCCTGGGTATCAGGAAGCCCCAGAGGAAGAGCTGATCTCCCAGCACTCTCTCTGGTCTGAAAACTGACTGTGCAATCTCTGAGGCCCTAAGCATTCTGCTTAGACAAATAGTATTCACGTTCCCGCCAGAGAACCATTCCCCATGGTCCACGTTTTTTTCTAACACGCATAAAACTGGACATTTAACTTCTGTTTACGTATATATAAACCATACCGTTAGGAGAAGCCTGGGAAATGCTTGGTTGGAGAAGAATTTTGCCCTTTGAAAACACAGGAGTGAGTGACTGCTGTATATTGTCTTATCAGAGGCGTGACACATGCGGTTGATTGGGACCAGGTGTTCCGCAGGGGCCACTGCAGTGAAACTATAAACTTCTGGCTGACAAGGAAGGTGACAGCCCAGTTTTTTTTTTTTTTTTTCCCAAAGGATTGCTTGCCAATATTGGCCTTCCCATGTCAGGCTATTGACAAAGCAACTAAAGAACTTGGGAGGCTCTGAGTAAGAAGCTACGGGAGGCTGAAGCTAGAACGATAATAGTTTGTGACAGACTTTGTGACGAGGGGTTGTAGGCTCAGCCTATAAGAGCACCCCTAAGTGGACAAGAAGACCAAGAGATGAAGCAGATGGGAATTTTGGGTCAAATTCGGTCAAGTCCATTTTACATTTGCTTCCCCACTGTCTACTTCAAGGCCATATCAAGACTGGTAATTTCCTGAGTGGCAGTGTGCGACTTGGGCAGGACACCCTCTCTGATTAAATACATATCCAGTGTGTACTGAGTCTGAATCATGAAATCTGTCGCTCAGCTAGCGAGATGTGGACGTGCTGAATTTGCTCCCTCGGCTAGTGGTCTACAGGCGAGTTCACCAACCAGGGCTCTTTGTGTTAGATTGTTCCAAACAATACTGTCCTTCCCTCTCCACCACCATTTCCTTCCCTTTGTGGATGACTTTGACTACTTTAGGGAGCCTCACAGGTCTCTGAGATGTGCCTTGTCTGGCAGTAGCAGAGAATCATTAAGCCGCATTATTCCTTTCAGGCTTACGAGCAGGACGAAGAGAGGAGCTAGGGCTGTTTGAAGAAGAACTGTGGTGACTCTTACTTCAGCTCGTCCTTTACTTCTGTGTTTGCTTATGAGCACTTTGCCGGGTTTTATGGTACCTTCAAAGGACATGGTAGTGATGCGTACATCCGGGAGCAGATGTACTGCAGCCAGGGCTCCACACCGAGGCTCTGAGATAACATTTGCTCTGGGAAGTATTTCTCAGGGCTTTGTTGGTTGCCTGCATCTGAGCTGGCTGCATGCTCTGGTCTGGTTTTTCTCTAAAACACACAGCTTGGCTCTTGATCACTAATGTCTTTTCTTGTTTGTTTATTCTACTGGGCAACCCTGAACACTGAAAGAAAGACTGGCTTCCTTCTCTGTCCAACATGGAGACACAGAGGCGACCGTGGAAACAGCAGTCCTTCTCCCTGCCGGTCCGGGAGAGCTTGGAGGGTGAGGATAAAGCGATTAGCCTAGGTGAAAGCTTCAGTGTGTGCAGCCGCGGCTATTTCTTCGGCCAGAGAGAACTGGCGTTTTTCTCACGTCCCGCACCCTGCGCGGTGTGCTACCTTGCTGGGCGGTGAGGCTGGAGTGTGAGGGAGTTTTGGTGACTCCTGAATGTTCTGATCCTAATGTCTGGGCTCATTTAGTTTGTTCTGGGTGCGCACAAGGATCAGCAAGGACTTTAAAAAGAGGAATTGTAACTCTCAGACAGCTAGGGGTCAAGTTTCCACTGTGGTACACGTTTACACTGTGGTACACGGCATCTTGGCAGGAGTTTTTTTTCTTATTGGGGGTCTGTGGTAGAGGGTAGAACCTTTTCTATGCTTTATATTTGGGTCCTCCCTGCCTCTTGGGTCTTCTTGGTGTTTTTCCTTTGAAGTTTCTTTCTTCTCTCCACAGTATTGCTGCAGGACATTCGTTGCTAGTGTGTGTGTGTGTTTGTGTGTGTGTGTGTGTGTATTTGAGCAAAACCTAAAGTTTCTGAGAAAACAATAGAGAATTGAGGAGGAGCTTTCAGATGGATTGTTACAGTACTCAACAGGAAGGGGGTATGCTGGGGTAAGTTTCCAGAAAATGTTCTGGAGTTCAGCTTTGAAGACACTGTTGCTGTGTATGTGGGGTGGGGCATGGGGCAGTTTTGGAGCCTTTTCCACAATGGTCCTGTGTGGCTATCATCCAGGCCTGGGGACATACTGCCGTTTCACTAGGCCTATCTAGGAAGAACTCTACAGATGAGTTTGCAGCTTTTCTGCACACCTCCCAGTATCTCCGTTTCTATAAAAACGTGTTAAAACTAGGGACATAGGAGCCTGAGCCCTATCAACCAAAAGAAGTCATGTTGGGACAGGAGAAGCCACAGCTCCCATAAATGCTGCATAAGATGCTACACTGTCATCTTCTGGCCGCCTCAAAGGAGCAGGGAAGGGTGTGTGTGTGTTAAGGGGGTCATATGCACATGAGGATAATTGCAGGGTTGTATGAGGATTAAGTGTAGGGATCTAGGAAGCTTAGTCTCCACTTACAATGCATAACCAAAATTCCATAATGCGGCTGCCTCATACTGTGCCCACATGCTGGGAGGAAGTCACCCTGGAGTCTGGCTCTGTCGTGAGATGGTTCTCCGTGCTTGTTTTCTAAGAGGTACCGTGCGCTCTTGCTGTCTCCTACACAGGGCTGTCAGTGACATGATGGGAATCAGCCGGCATGTGCACATGCCTCCCATCGCCTTTCCTCTGGGTTAATTTACTGAGTTGGCCTTTCTGAGCATGGGCCCCAGCTTCCCACCGAAAGCTAGAAAGTGCAATTCCTCCATTTCAGCATGACATCTCTAATTGGCTGGGAACTACTCAATTGGTAAATAGGGACGTTTTGTTCACCCCTTACATAAAATATGAAGGGAATGAGTTTAACAGAGACTCTGACACCAGCATTTAAATAAATAAGCTGTATTATCTGTACAAAAAAAATATAAATACAGTTTCGTGTTTTAGAGGAGGAAGGGCCTCCTTCCACATTATCCAGCAGCCCCGATAATTTGTGGCACTGCTGAGTCGCAATTCACAGAACAAATATTAAATGTACATTCATCTCATGCAAGGCGCATACTGTGTTCCCTCCCAAACCTAAGCTCTCCAGCTTGCTGGGGAAGGCACTTCCAACCTCACATTCTGACACGTGGTGGAGCTGGAAGATGCCTGCCTTTTCGGGAATCCAAACACTGACCACCAGTTTTAAATAGCTGTTGAGCTAATCAACTGTATTAGTTGACAGATTTGTGTCTGCTCCATGTGTAACAAGTGTCACAAACAAATCGACTTTATTGCCCCCATCCCACATTAGCTTTTTAATGCACTCTGTGTACACAGTGAATAATGGATCAGAGTTAAACACCAGTTTTCTTTTAAAATTAGGAAGGATACAGTTATCACCACAGAGTTTTTTTAGGAGCACAGCTGCAGGAAGTAAATCCCCCAAAGAGTTTTTGCTTTTCTGGATGACAATGTACAATTACCAATATTGCACTTTTTTTATACAAGAAATCCTAATAAATATTCACAAAAGATATACATAGAAACACTCTCTTTTATTTTAAATAAACATTACACTGATTTTTTTAGTAACTCAGTTTCTTAGAACCTATTTCTTGGATGAGGACAAGGTCCACCCTAACTGTCCGTAGCGCACCTAGTGAGGACACAGATTACCACCATCTTCCAAACTTAACTTCTGGGACAGCTGGACAATGGCGGCCCGGATGTCGGTGGCAGCGACATCACTTTGGCGAGTGTGTATGTGAGGAGTGGTTTATCTGAGGGTGGGTACCGGGCTCTGGCTGCTGATCTGCTACACTGAGACTGCTCTGGGGGAGGAAGCAAGTATTAGCGTTGAAGCTTCTCTGCCGAGTGGGGCTTTGCAAAGGGCTTTTGGACTAGCCTTATCCACAGTTGATGCGTGTTGCTGAATCGTGTGTGCTGTTTGGCCTGCTGAGTGGTCCATTCACCCAGTCTGGTGTGCTAATTACATAGGTGGATGGTATTTGTGTTGGGCGGATGGTTGAAAGGCTTTTGAGGATTGTCCCGTGAGTCTCTGGCCATCCTCTTGCTTGGCCATAGCACCCTACTCCTCCCACCCTACCCCACCCTGCTGTGTAAATAGGATGCACGGCAGCTCTTCTGTGGTTTGGGAAGGGCCCACAGGCCCAATGTGTGACAGCCGGGATAAGCAAAGCACACTGTGGGCATGCACGGCCCCTCTCTTCTATCCGGTTCCCTGGCCTACTCTGGTCGGAAGGGTTGCTACACCCTGTAGATGTTTGCCAGCCAACAGATTGCTTAATGAATCCTTTGTAAGTAATGATTCTCGTCCCCGGCCTAACAAGGAGCAGCAAAGTCAACCAGGTGGAAAACCTGGTGTACTCCGGCTCAGATGCCCGTGGCTCACAGCAGCTGTTAGTTCAGGGCTAGCGAGCCTTGATTTAAGATACTGAGATGCCAGGGACAGCTGTATTACACAGCCAGAGCTGGACTCTCTTGTTTTGTTTTCCCCAGCTGCAGACACAAAGGTTACTTGATAGACAGGGAGGAGAGGCGCCTCCAGAACCACATGAAGGGCACACTTTCTTTCATGCAGCGTGGGTACCCTGAGAAGACGCCGGACACCCTTCTCACCTCTGCTGAATCTACAGGACAGCACATGTACCAATGCATGGGTCTGTCAGATGGGTTTCATGTGGCTGTTTTAAAATCTGTCCTGCCTGCTAGCTCCTCCCACCAAGGAGCACACACAAGCTCTCTTCTCCCACCTCTTCCCTGCCTCCATCTCATGCATAACTGAATGCCTTCTGTCTATTCTGCATGTCCCCTTTGCAACATCTGTCCATGGTTGAGTTTCCTTTCTCCATTCCCCCTCCCCTTCAGAAGAACTGGATTCCGGCCTGGTTTCTGCTCCAGTCTGGCGTTTCCCTTATTCTTACCACCCAGGAAACGAAGGAATGACACTCCTGGTTGGCCTGTGCCTGTACCTGTGTGTCACAAACCCCAGCTCCCCGCCGTCCCTATGGACTATGGCTTTCTCCTCCTGTGTCTCCGAGACCCTGATTGGGAAGGAGCCAGCTCTACAAGGGAGCTGCTGTCTGCCTGGTCTGCTCTGTAACCTCCTTCAGACTTCGCTCTCTCTGTTCTCAACCCTTGTTCCAGCTAGCTGAATAAGAAAACATGGCAGGGTCCTTAGGATCACGGGTGCAGGTGGACATGGGTGTGTGGGGAGGGGCAAATAAATAAATAAAAGGAAGAAAGCATAAGTCATGTCCCAGGTGGCTGTATGAGTCCTTTGTGTGGCCAGGGTAATATTCATCCCCGAGCCCTGTCTTCAGGCTTTGCCGCACGTTCCACAGCAGCGAGACCGGAACTGGCCGAGCTGGCAGAGTTTCAACTGTCTCACCTTCTCGCAGTACCTGGTGGTGTCTCTGCACTCAGCTGGGGAAGCGGGAGGGAGGAGGGGACAGAAAGGAGAAGTGAAACAGAGGCTCATGGGTGCAGCTGCTGCTGAGCAGCCCAGGCCCTTGGCAAGATGCCCGAGGGCTCTACCTTGCCCATGGTTCTGGAGTTCCTTTGCCATTCCCTCCCCCACCAGCCTCCTGCAGCTGTCTGGTGGATCGATGGGGCCCATCTCAGGGCCGCCTTTGCTTCTGATGGCCACTTCTACTCAGAATGGAAACTTGAAGCCCCCTCCTCTTGGGATAACCTCACCTCCTTGCCTGCTGTTTTCCCCATGGGCTTTTGGGATTTTAGTGAGAGATGGTTCTCAGAAGGACAGAATTCTGTTCTTTGCGAGAGAGCGTACAAGCAGGGACCAGGCTGAAGGTCTATATTCTCAGGTGCTTGGACCTCAGTTTCCCTGTTCTGCTTTCTTTTCTTACCCAGGCCTCTTGTTCTTCAGCTCAGTGGACCTTCCAGACACCACAGTTCTTAAGCACTGGCACAGCCTGTATCTGGTAAACTTTTTAACTCCCTGCCCTGCACACTGGTACTTTCTGAATACGGCAACCATCTGACAAGGCGCAGCAGAGTGAAAAGATCATATATCTCCCAGGGAGTCAAAAGGGATGGGCTGTCTGACTCAGTGTGGGGAACTATCTGATTGCTCAGTGAAGTTCATTGAGGGGGAAATATTGGATGATTACACTTATTTTTATTGTCTGTTCTTGGCAAAGATCTATCATTATCTTTTGTGGGGAACTATCTCCAGTCTGGGTCCTGCACTCTGAGAAGGAGAGACTAGATCCCTACCCAATCAGAATACAAACGCTGTGGCGGGGCTGAGAGGCTCCAAACCTGAGGGTGCAGGGAGTAGAAGGACTGACAGAACCCAGGGGCACAGTCTCCCATTCCATTCCAGTGGACGCGCATGGGCTGGGGAGGAGGGGGGTCAGCAGGTCCTTGTTTGGTGGGAAGCAGAACAAGGGTGGGCAAGGGCTGGCTGAGCAGCAGCCATTCTGCATGCTTCTTCAGTGCTAACAGTGTTCTGTCCTTAGGAGCCTGGTCCCTGGGAACCACTATTTAGGCTTCCCTTGTGGGCACCAGCCATGTTGACTGCAGGTGAGTTGGAGGCCAGTTTTATCCAGCCCTTGGCTCTCTCTGAGCCCAGGATGAAGACAGTGGAAGCCCCTGCGACATATCCTGGCACCTTTTATGGCCTGAACATGTGTACACGTATCCTTGCACATACCCATGTACCTCACTTAAAATGTTCAATTCTGGCCCCAGCTCACAATCCTTAAGGAACTTGATCCAACGCCCCGTGTTCAGGCTCAGTCCCGGGGATCGCCCTCTGTACCCGATGGCCTTTGGGGAATTTGCAGAATGTCCTTTGGGATTGGAACGTACTGTTTTCACAGGGAGTGATGTTGCAGCGTTGCCAGTTGGCAGGCCGGGGCCCCCAGGAGCACAGGTGCTCAGGCACAGCCTTGTTGGTGCGGACATGAACACACTCCACTCGTCGGGACTGGAAGCCATAGTTGCCACAGGTCGCTGTGCACAGGGTCCATAGGCTGACCCTCCAGTGTACACCGCAGGCCTCTGACCAGCAGTTTTGGGTGCTCACAGGCCTGTAGGAGGAGGGTGGCAGGATTAAGGTCTACCTCTGTGAGAGCTAGATCTGAAAACAAACTACAAACCCAGAGATGTAGGTAGGTTAGGATCTTGGTCTCTGCTTGTTAATGAACGAAGGAGCATGGACCTTAAAGAGGCCACTCTTCTGGGCGTCTTTCTGTTGCGGACTATTCCTTTACACTGTGTGACAAGATGCCACTGTGATTGGTTTAATAAAGAGCTGAAGTTAGGCAGGACTTCTGAGGACAGAGAGCTCTGGGAAGAAGAAATCTAGTATAACCCCTGTAGATGGCTCCTTCACAAGAAGAACTTGTGAAGCTCTTGTGGTCTGGTAGCCATGGTGTAGGTGCCTCTTGCTCTCTAGGTGTGGATCGCTTGTGGAATCAGATCTCCCTTATGAATAACACTTACATGTATTTCATCCCTGAGAGAAGAAAGCCCAACCTGGCTCCTTCAGCAAACACAGGGCACTCTTTGCCAGAGGCTAAGGACTTGGGGTAAGATGGAGGAGCGGACAGCTGACCCCTTGTGGAAGACTAGAGTAGCAACAATATTCCTCACCACGGTCTCTTAGTGCTGTTCATACAGGGACTGAAGTAGAGGATGACAAGGGCTTTGTCTTACCTGGGGAGCGCGCTGCACTGCTCTGATGGTAAGGTGATGCCATCCCGGGTCTGGCAAAAGACTTGTCTGTGTTGCACAGCGAGGCGAGGGCCTATGCAAGGCCCATTGCACTGGGAGGGAGGAAGATGAAGAGCATGTTATCTGTGTCCAAGGTGGAAGCTGCGATGCTCAGGCTATGCGAGGCAGGAGCATTGAGTACCGTCTCATTAGACCTGTAGCTCCTCTTTCCCTTTGTTGATCAAATAGCAGACGCTCACTGGCATGTGCTTTATGCCATCAACTGTCCTATAACATGTGGGCCTTGTGCTTGCAAGTGACCAAGGAAGTGCAGAAGGCTTCTGTAGACCACAGAAGGCTTACCTGGATTAACCCATGGAAGTATTTTGTTGTGTGCTGGAAGTATGGTGGTAAGCTTCGGAGAAGAAGATCTCTCAATACCATATCTGGTAAAATTGATTATTTTAACTACTTAAAAATAATTTTGTAAATTATAGTCCATGTAGGACAGTCTGAGTAAAACAAAATATACTCTGAGAAAATGAATATGGAGACGTGACCTGCTACATGGTGCTACCCCCACCTTAGAAGGGACCTGTTCTCGGCTTAACACGCTGTTGGCCATCTTGGCATCTATTGTGGTTTTTGGTTAAGAGACTCTGCAGGTTATGTGCCCCAGCTGTGTATGGGCAAAGGAAAAACAAATAGACAAAATACACGTGACTCAGCAGCCTGCGTCCGTCCACTCCTCCTCTCCAGATACAACTGATGCCGAGATCAGAACTTTATTGTTCATCTGTTTGTGATCCACAGTAGACTTGTGATTATATGAAGTAATTAGTGAAAGTGGTACCGCTACCAGCATGTGGTGGGTGCTGCCTCATGCTTCCCAGCATGCAGTTTTGTTGAGTATGTGTGTGCATGGTGTGTACATGTTTTAAGGGGCACTGTCCACTTAGGGTTACAAGTACCTTTGCCCATTTCTTCTCCAGCCACAGGTAGATGGGGTTTCCATTTGGAAGTTCTTGGATGGTCATATAGTTTAAACACTAGGCATTCTACTAATTACGTACTCTACTAATTACTACTAATTACTCTCTACTAATTACATTCTACTAATTACTCTCATCTTGGCTTTATTTGTATTCCTTGTCTACTAAAATATTTAATATATTTTTATTAAATAACTCTTCACCCAGATAAAGTCTCCTCCAGTTTTTCTGCCTTATTCCTTTAGTGTCTGGCATTTTCCACTTTCCCTGTGTGTTTCAGATAGGCTTCCTGCTTGGCTATGGGTTTTAATTGTTTTCTCTCTTACAAAGTTCATCCCACTCACTCAAATGATGTCTTCTCATAAAGACCATGCTTTGATTTCGTTCAATTTACACATTTTGTGTTTAAGTAAATTATTCTGTTTTATATTTTATATTTTAGTCTGTCACACATATATGGTCACTTGTTGCCTGATGATGGAGACACATTTGAAATTTTTTTGGTTAGTGTTATCACTATTATGCAAACATCAATAGTGTACTTAAACCAAGATAGCTATGACATCATCAGGTAATACAATATTTTTAAAATTTATTTATTCTTCTTTCATATATTACATCCCAACCAAAGCTTCCCCACTCTCCACTACTCCCTCTTCCCCAGATCCAGACCTCTCAGGTATATCAAACACAGCATACCAAGATACAGTAAGACTGGGCACATAACCTCATATTGAGGCTGGAAGAGGCAATCTGGTAGAAGAAAAAGGGTCCCAAAAGCAGGCAAAACAGTCAGAGACAGGCACCACTGACTTTTTGGGGGTGGTTAATTTTGTATCCAGTCACTATGATGAAGGTGTTTATCAACTATAGGAGTTCCCTAGTAAAATATTTGAGGTCATTTATATCATCTGCAAATAATGATATTTGGACTTTTTACTTTCCAATATGTATATCCTTGATCCCCTTCAGTTGTCTTATTGCTCAAGCTAAACCTTTAAGTGCTATATTGAATATATATGGAGAGAGTGAACAGCTTTGTCTCTTTCCTGATTTTAGTGGAATTGTCTTGAGTTTCTCCCTATTTAATTTGATGTTGCATATAGGCTTGCTGTAAATTGCCTTTATTATGTTTAGGTCTGTCCCCTTTATCCCTTATCTCTCCAAGACTTTTTTTATCATGAATGGGTGTTGAATTTTATGAAATATTTTTTTTTAAAAAACACCCAATGAGATGATCATTTTTTTTTGTCTTTCAGTTTGTTTATATGGTGGATCACATTGACAGATTTTCTTATGTTGAACCATCCTTACATCTTTGGAATAGAGCTTACTTGATCACGGTGGATGATCTTTTTGATGTGTTCTTAGATTTGGTTTGCAAGTATTTTATTAAACATTTTTGTGTCATTGTTCATGAGGGAAATTGAACTGTAATTTTCTTTGTTGAATCTTTGGGTTGTTTGGGTATCAGGGTAATTGTGGCCTCATAAAATGAATTTGGCAATGTTCCTTCTGTTTATATTTTGTAGTATACTTTTGACATTATTTCTTTTTCGAAAGTCTCGTAGAAATTCTGTGCTCAAACTTTCTGGCTCTGGGCTTTTTTTGGGTGGGAGATTTTTAATGACTTTGTCTGATTTTGATTTAACTTTGATAGGTGATATCTATCAAGAACATTGTCCATTTCTTTTAGATTTTTAATTTTGTGGAGTATAGGCTTTCTGAAATATGATCTTATGATTCTCTGGATTTTATTGGTGTCTATTGTTATGTTTCCCTTTTTGTTTCTGACTTTATTAATTTGGATGTTCTCCTGTGTCTTTTACGTTGGATAAAGGTTTGTCTATCTTGATTTTCTCAAAGAACTCTTTGTTTCATCGATTCTTTGTATTGTTCTCTTTTTCTATTTGATTGATTTCAGCTTTGATTATTTTCTGCCATCTACTCCTCTTGGGTGTGCGGTTATGTTGCTAACATGGCATCTCTCCACTTTCTTTACCAAGGCACTTAGTGATAGGAACTTTTCTCTTAGTACCACTTTCATTGTGTCTCCTTAGGTTTGGGTATGTTGAACATTCATTTTCATTGAATTCTAGAAAGCCTTTCATTTCTTTATTTCTGCCTTGACCTAGTGGTACTTCAGTAAAGAGTTGTTCAGTTTCCATGAGTTTGTAGGATTTCTGTTGATCAACAGCTTTAATAATGGTCTGATGGATTCAGGGGGTTATTTCAATTATCCTGTATCTGTTACAGCCTTTTGCTTTTTGATCGAGCATGTGATCAATTTCGGAGAAAGTTCCATGTTGGACTAAGAAGAAGGTATATTCTTTTGTGTTTGGATGAAATGTTCTGTAGATATCTGTTAGGGTCATTTGAGTCATAACCTCAGCGCCATTATTTCTCTGTTTAGTTTTGTTTGGATGACCTGTCCACTGGTGAGACTGGGGTATTGAAGTCTCCCACTATTAATGTATGAGGTTCAATGTGTGATTTAAGTTTTAGTAACATTTCTTTTACAAATGTGGGTGCCCTTGCATTTGGGGTACAGATAATTTAATTAAGGATTGAAATGTCATCTTGGTGGATTTTTCTTTTGATGAGCATGAAGTGTCCTCTGCATTTTTGATCAATTTTGGTTGGAAGTCTATTTTGTTAGATATTAGAATAGCTACATCAACTTGCTTCTTAGGTCCATTTGCTTGGAAAATCTTTTCCCAACCCTTTATTCTAAGGTAATGTCTATCTTTGATTTTGCAGTCTGTTTCTTGTATGCAGCAGCAGGATGGATCCTGTTTTACATTCATTTTGTTAGTCTGTGTCTTTTTATTGGGGAATTGTGTCCATTGATAATTGAGATATTAATGATCAAAGATTATCAATCCACATTATTTTGTTGTTATAGATAGTGTATGTGTTTTGGTGGTATGAGATTATTTCCTGTGGTTTCAGGATTAACCTTCTTGGGTTGGAGTTTCTTTCTAGTATCTTCTGCTGTGCTGGATTTGTAGATAGGTATTGTTTGAATTTGACTTTATCATGGAATATCTTGTTTTCTCCATCTATGGTGATTGAAAGTTTCACTGGCTATAGTAGTTTGGATTGACATCTGTGGTCCCGTAGAGTTTGAGGGGCGTCTGTCCAGTCCTTTTTGTCTTTTACAGTCTCAAGTGAGAAGTTAGGTGTAATTCTAATACCTTTATATGTCACTTGGCCTTTTTCCTAGTAGATTTTAATATTCTTTCATTGTTCTGCATGTTTTAGTATTTTGATTATTAAGTGGTGAGGGGACTTTATTTTCTGGTCCTATCTGGTGTTCTGTATGCTTCTTGTACCTTTATAGGCATCTCCTTCTTTAGTTGAGGAAATTTTTCTTCTATAATCTTGTTGAAAATATTCTTTTGGCTTTTGAATTGGGATTGTTCTTTTTCTTCTATTCATATTATTTTTAGCCTTGGTCTTCTCACAGTGTCCCAGATTTTTCTGGTTGTTTTGTGTTAAGAATTTTTTAGATTTAGCATTTTCTTTGACTGATTTACCTACTATTATATCTTCAGTGTCTGAGATTCTCTCTTCCATCTCTTGTATTCTGTTGGTGATGCCTGCATTTGTAGTTCTGTTTGCTTACCTAGATTTTCCATTTCCAGAATTTGCTCAGTTTGAGTTTTCTTTATTGCTTCTATTTTCATTTTCAGGTCTTGAACAGTTTTGTTTCCTTCAACTGTTTTTTTTTTTCTTGACTTTTTAAAAAGGGATTTTTAATTTCCCGTTTATCATCTTCATAAGGGTTGTTTAAAGGCCTTTTTCTTGTGCTTCAGCTATGTTGGAATTTTCAGGGCTTGCTGTAGTAGCTTGGTTCAGGTGGGGGTATATATTGCCCTGGATGTTGTGGCGTTTAGGCATCTGGATTTGAGGTGATTTAAATCTTGGTGCTGATTTCTGATTTTGTTTCTTGGTCTGTTTCTCCTTTGGTCTTCTGGTCTTTGTGACCTGGAATTCTGGCAACCTGGTGTATTCTCTGGTCCAACAGGGATTCTCTGTCTAGGTTGGAGGCTGAACTTCCAGCAGCTAATGTGACCTTAGGTTGAGCAAGCAAGGGATCCTCGCCCAAGTTTGGGGCTGTTCTTCTGGCTGGCATGACCTGCACCTGAGCCAAATTTACATTGCTGCCAAATTTACATCTGAATTTGGCGGCAGGGGCATGGCAGCAGTGGTGAGCAGTGTGCCAGGAAGGGGTGGATTGGGTATTTCGGAACTGAACCGAGGGAGTGGGAAAGTTCCTTGGGCAGGCTGGCAGCTTACTTGTTCTTCTGACTTGATACAGTTATTATGTATGTGAGTGAGCTTGTGTGTTCACCATGTCCATTCAGGAGTCCAACGAGCTCCCTGGAGCTGAATTATAGGCATTTGTGAGCCACCATATATAGATGCTGGGAGATGGCTCCCTTGGGAATGAACAGTCTCAATCATAGAGCCATCTCTCCATCCCAGGTGATGGAATCTTATGGAATCCCTATTGTATGTTATGGTTAGTCATTGGCTGGGTATCACTGACACAGCACAATGCTCTTTTGGTATGCTCAGCAGAACTATTATTCTTGGGACATGCAGTAATTATTTTTCATGTTTTATCATTAATTCTTTGTCAATTTCATATATGCATATAATAAATTCTGATCACCTTCCTTCCTCCACCTCTCCTGATTGCGCGAAGGAAGTAAGTATGTAGGCCTTGTGAGGTTTGCTTTTATCAGCTTCCGACTAATGGAATTAGGCTCTATTCTCTGGGGAATTCCAAGTCTCGGATGTAACCTGGTGTGAGTATCTGCATAAAGCCTCTTTTTTTTGTTTAAAATGTATTCACATCCAGACCGGGAAATCTCTGAATGACTCCCGACCCCTAACTCCAGGCAGAGAACTGAGAAAGGAGGCATAGGTTTCAAGGTGATCCAGTTGGCTTCACCTTTCTTTTGGCTTGGAATGATGGTTTCCAGTTTCCAAAGCCTGCTTGAGTCCCACTGCAGTACAGCAGACTCCCACCTTTGGGAGGTATGGCCCGGTCATCATTGTTTTAAAAGTTTTTCCAGTGAGGTTTCTGATCTGAGGAACTAGCTAAGAACCCTGGTGCAGAGCCACAGTGCATTCCTCTGAAGTTCCCAGTTCCAGGAAATGGTCTTGGGGTCATAAAACGAACAGCAACAAGTCTCAGGAGTGTGCTAATGCCTCAGAAAACCTTACACGTTAGGATAGGGGATGCAGGCGTGACACGGGGTGGGGTTAGCAAGAGGCGGGAATGTGTGAGAGAGGGGGTGGCATTTCTCTCCCTGCTATGGCAAGGTTTCTATCTGCAGATTTGCCCTCAAAACCAAAAACCAAAACAATCAAACCAGACCTCTCTGGCTCCTCACCTGGCCCCAGCTCGAGAAAGCCCATTCCACACACAGTTGCTGGTTACAGGCTTGGGTGTCCACAGGCCTTTTGGCCAGCTGACTGCACATGTCATTAGATACTGGGGTAGAAATCCCAGATGCCTTCAACTTCTGACAGGTCACCCGGCGTGTCTGGACACCTCCACCACAGCTCCGGGTACAGGCAGACCAGGAAGTCACCATCCACCTGAGGAGAAAGCAGACTTGAGGGCCATTGCAGAGGGTAAGGCCTGGGGGAAATAAAACCTTGCTTGTCCTTCTCAATACACGTGGATGTTGATCTGAGGGTCATTTCCCCAAGATTTACGCAGAAAAATGTAAAATGTCTACACCGTGCTTCTGAAACCCGTGAATGCTAACTTGCTTTAACTTTTGTTTCTTGTTGTTTGTGAGACAGGGTCTCAGTGCGTGGCACAGCTCGGCTTTGGACTCGAGTGCTGGAGTTACAGGCATGCACCATAGGCAGGATTTGGAGATGAGATTATACGAGTAGACCCTACAGGCCATCATCAGAGGGAAGCGCATATAGGTGAAAGGTGGCAGAATGACCAGGGAACAGGAGCTGTAGCCACGCACCAGGGACTTTAAGAGGTACGGGGATATGGGAGTGATTAGGAGCAAATTCACGCCTAGAGTCTCTACAAAGAGCACATGGCCCTGTGGATGGCTTAATTTCTGGTCTTGGAAATGGATTTTTATGATGCCATTTGGACGAATTTTTCTTGCAGCCCCAGGAAATTGCTAAAATTTGAACATTGACAAGGAAAGACTATATTGAGGGCTGGTTGCTTTAAGTTCCCCCTCACTAGAGAAATTGTGGCTAGAAAGCTTTTAGTTAGAACTGCACTATGTCAGGGAAGGACCCTTTCCTAGGTGAGCTGGGTCCAAGCACGTTACCTCTTGAGCTAGGAGGTTTCACTGAGGTCAAGGTTTTGTCTGGAACCTTGCTCCACCTTTCAGAAATAGTCAAAGATAATTCTAGATTTTTAGGGTAATTTCTACCATTAGTAAGTCAGTGTAGAAGTCATATCTTGGAGGGTTGTATATGAAGTATAAATATCTATTCTCAGAATATAACTTAAGTCCCTAGAAGTAAAACTGACCAAGACTATGATAAATGAGCCTTCCTCATAAAGCCATTCTATAATCTGGGGACATTGTGAAGTCCTTAGTCCACAGTGTATATGCAATCATGTGGGAGCCCTCTTCTGCATGTGTGCACATACAGATAATTAAAGAGTTAGACTCCAGGAAGACCCCACAGCTGTGATACAGTTCTAATCCCAGAATCCAGGTAAAGTAGATGAACAGCTACCTGGGTTAGAAAAGACAGTCAGAAGATAGTCGGAAGATAGAGTCATGCTTATGTATGTACAAGAGAGGATGCTCACGTGGCCCTCAAGCCAGACTGGCATTCTAGTCAAACGGAACCTTATGGGCTTCCCTGCCAAGAGGGACCACGTTTTGGTTTTCAAAAGAAGTGCATGGAGAGACAGGGAAGCGATTCTTTCTTCCAACAGGATCTGCAGCTGACTTAGTTTGTGGCAATTTCTCAGTGCCTTGGCCTGGGGAGGACGACTGTAAGCGGGTTTCTAGGCCAAGGAAATGTCGTGTTTAGGAAGCAGGCACAAGGTGTTTTAAAGCCACTGGAAGCATTGAAACCCAAGAAGAGATGGCCATTACTATGTCAGTTGCTGAAGTAAATTAGGCTGATTAGCTCTGACCATCACCAAATCAAATCACAGAGTTCCTGGCACGTGAAAGATCTCTTCTTCATTTCAGGCAGCTTGGCAAGGGCAGTCTTCCAGAGCCTTCTGTCCCTGGTGAATGTCAGGCCCGCGTTTCAATCAACTTTGATTTCTAAATATACATTTCAGTGATGTTTTCAGGAGCCGGGGTGGGGGTTTTGAGAAAGGAGAGCTATGGGCCGTGTTACTGTTCAGGAAGGGTATAAAAGGACATTAATCATTCCCGTGGAAACCTTCCCGTCAGCGAGTCAAACTGCTGATATTAATGAGTGTGTTTCATATTTCATGGAGTCTCTCCTAGTCTCAGCTGCTCCCTATGACTCAGCTGGCAAAACACAAAGCAGTTGCCGGAGCAGGATAGCAAAGCCCTACAGATAGGGGCCCTGCAGATCCTAGCCAAGTCTCCTGGGTTGCAGGGCGCCATGCTGGTGCCAACTCCGACCCCATCCATTACCCGTTAGCTACCGCCTGAAGACCTGGGGATATGAGCTCAGCGGGACTCAGGCCTTCTCGATGCCAGAGTTAAACGAGCGAAGGAGACGGTGGGTGTCATTGCTGCCTAACGACGAATCTGAAGTGCAGGAACTACATCCAGTCAGAGCAGCTATAGAAAAATGGAGCTGCAGTCCAACTTTAGTTAGATGCAACTGCTTGTAAAAAGGTAAGTTTTCCTTAAAATTAACTAGCGGAGGTATTTAGGTAGACAGAAAGGAAAAAGTCGGAGTTGAGCCCAGTAGTCCTTGTCTCGTCAACTTTTCAATAGGAAATACGTTCCGAACAACCCAGAACGACAGTTTACTATTGCAGGATGGCTGTCACCTCTGGCCCCACCCTGGGACATACTTCTTTACTGGACAGACTCTCAGGACCTGACAGCCCGGGTAGCTTCTGCTGGCTGAGTGGTGAGGGAATAAGGAGAGCTGAAAGCGGGGGTCTCCTTGAAGGCCATCTCCAGTATGGGAAAGAACAGCCCCTTGGATGCCATCTCTTTCTGCATGGTGCTTGACAGCCAGCTAATAGTCAGGGCCAGCGGCTGGGGGCGGGAAGGGCACACTTACCGAGAAGGGCAGTCTCTCCGGTTGCAGGCAATAGGCTGTGCGGCGGGCCGAGGCTTTCCAGCACAGTGCTCAGGGTCAACCTCCGTGGTGTTCAGCAAGCACCTGAGGCGGGGCTGATGCACCCCTCTGTTACCACAGGATGCTGAGCAGGTTGCCAGTCTGTCCACAGACCACCAGTAATCTGTCACGGGGGAGGGTCAGAGGGAAGAGGACGCAGTGTCACTGTCCAGGCTTGTCCTTCTGGGCAGGGGAGTGGGAAGGATTGAGTGAGCTCAGAGGGGCTGTGTAAACCCACCATCTGCTTAGGGGGTGGGGCGGCGCAACAAGCAACAAACTTGGGCAAGGCCAGTGGGCTCCAGGAGCCTCCAGTCAGCTCACCCCAAAAATAACGAACACAGAGCCCCTTTTCTCACAAAGTATGGTGAGGCCTGAGTAAGATGGCAGGAAAGGCCTAGCTCCACAAGTACCTGGCAGAGTATTTAGCCGACAGTCACAGCGGTTATTATTTTTAATCACATTTGCTCAAGTCCTTCTTTTTTTCATTTTGGTTCATCACACAGTGACTTTATTTTTCTACAGAGAGGTAGAAATATATCAAGGTACTTAATCATGTTTAAAAGCAAGGATTTGAGTTGGATTGTCTATCCGAAGAGTTCCCCTTTGTATGAGATAATGGTGTCGGGGAAGAGCCCTGCTCTTTGGTATCTCTGTTTGGGGACCTGGGACGTGTTGCAAGGAAGGCTGTTAAACGTTGCTTGGTACTGTTAGGATTCACATTTGCGAAATCTTGTGTGTTACAAACACTGCAAATTCATTTTCCTTTTTGGAGAGCCAAGCGGCAAGGGAGGTTGTTCCAGCAGATCTGTGTGCTTAGAAAAATCTCTCTTTTCATGAAGTTTTAGTGAGAGCAAGCCATCCTTCCCAGAGTCCTCAGTCTTGGGAGGACATTCCATAGCCGTTTGCTTTCCTCCACAGAGCCGCATACAGTGCGGTAGAACCAGCCCATGGAGAGCAACTTCCCCCAGTTTCCACAGAGAGGCCAGCTTGGCCTTTCTTCCTGCTGCTTTCAGCTCCTTAGCAGCTCTGTGCAGTGAGTGTGGACTTGCTGACCTGCCTGTGTTCCTGGAAGGCTCATGCCTGAGCCATGCAGGCTGCTTTATCAGGGCTGTTTTCTTTTGTTTTTTTGGTGTTTTTTTTTTTTTTTTTTTTTGCCAACACCGAGCGAGCTAAAGGAAAGGTGCCTAGAAAGCCCTTTGCATGCGGCCATGGCTGAACAGCCTGGAGTGGAGTGTAGTGTGAGGCCTACACTGCTCTCTCCAGGCAGAAGCCAGTGACCCCACCCCACTGGTTAGATCAAGATATACTTTTAAGCAGAATCAGCAGGGAAGACGTGGATTTTGTAAAAATGTGCTGCGTGTAGTCTTTCCTAGTTAAACCAGCTTAAAGGAAATGTGTGTAACTGACAGTGTGCCTTCTCCATCCTGATTTTTCCAGGTTCAGCTGGGATAGGCCCCAGGTGCTCTGTGGTGGTAGAAGTAAGGTTTCACAGGACACAGACATTCCCCACAAGAAAATCAGCGCGTTCTACCAGAGAATGGATTCCCTAATAAGTTGCTGCTCCAAGCCTGTAGAGTTCTTACCTTGGATCACCAGAGACGCTTTCTGTGTGAGCGTTCCTGCTTCATTCTGAGCCAGGCAGCTGAACTCCTCTTGAGGCCCTCCACTGAGATTTGCCACCTGGAGGATTTGTCCAGCTCCCCAGATGTGGTGGCTCAGCCCCGGGGCAGTGGCAATTGGCTGGCCATTTCGGAACCAGGTGATGTTGGGGGTGGGGTGACCTTTGATGGGGCAGCCTAGAAGAAGAGAGAAGACATCCGTGGTACAGCCAAACCCCACATTCCCGGTGAGCTCATGAGGGTTTCCATGGCTCTAGGGATTGTACACATGTCACGGTCTTACTGAGAGTGTTTTTTATTGTGCTTGTTTTTCCCAAGGAAAGGGGTGTTTTCACTCTCTGGACTTCTGGGAGGGCAACTATTCTTCAGTCAGTCCAATAAAAATGCTTGAAGAACACAAAGTGGCCATTCCTCTTCCTCCTCTACGCTGACTTCTGAAACAATGGCACAATTGCCATAATTTGTTAAGTTTTTTTTTTCCTGGTAGCTCTTCCACTGATTCATTTATAAAGGAAGTTTTTCTTTACATGTTGAGAAAAAATATAATATTCTTAAGTAAGACTTAAGAATCAAACTTCTACCAATTTAAATCTAATCCCTGTCTCCATGTTACTTTATATTATTTTTGAAGTAATATATTTTTAGAAGATACTAGGAAAATAATTTTATGCATTGGCCTCATTTGTCTATAAATGAAAACCCTTGCTTTTTTTTTTTTTTGATCTTGAAGGAAGACAGACATGCCTTTATTTCTTTCTCCTTGGTCCATCAGGAACTGTCCCATAAACCACCCTGCCATCACATTGTTCAAACAGCTGCCCCTTCTCTCTGTGAACTTTAAAGGACATTTATTTAAATACAGAGAGGGGTATACCTACACAGAAGGAAGACTTAGTAAGGAACACACAATTTGTATGGGCTACAGATAAATTTTTGTCTTTATAAAAATTCCTCAGAGTTTAAATCCTTATACTCTAAATATGTCTACCCTGGGTTTACAAAAAATATCTAGCAAATTTAATACATGACTTAATGTTTCTCTGACTTTGGGCTGTTCACTCTGGAGTCATAGCAAGACTAAGACTTAATAGAAACCCACCATTAATTGGAGGACTCTGAAAAAAAAGTGTGATTTTTAAAATTATTTTTATAAAAATAACCATGTGCCAGAAGTAGAAAATAGAAAGCTTAATGCTTTTGAAATATGTACTTTTAATCGATATGGAGGACACATTTTTATCACCAAATACCTAAAGGAAAATGAACATATTAATTATCAAATTCCAGGTCTCTCTCAGGTCCCAGTGTTCTTTCAGGTCAGGTTAAATCTTTGTAGGTGATTTTTGTCTGAGACAAAGCAAAGGCTCAGAAGCAGGTCTAAGAATCCTGAGTGGCATAGCTTAGCCTGATACAGCCATTACATACTTACAGTTCTTCATAAATCTTAAGGACATCAGTTGTCAGCCTGTCTGGGCTAGGCACTGGTGTTCAGTTTCTGGTTCCCCTCCGAAGGATGTCCGCTAGAGCACCCTTACTCTTTTTTTTTTTTTTTGACAACTCTTAACAGTACAGGCATGTATTGGATATGTGCAACCCTACCCTTATCTATGTAACATGGACTAGGCATGTGCAGTTCTATTCTGTGTAGCTATAACATATTTTGATACATTAAAAATTCTAAGATATTACAATGACTTAGCCTCATGAGAAAAGTTGTTTCGAAGCTCACAGTGCATACCAAATCATCAAACTGCAGAGAAACTGAGGTTTTCTTCAGTGGAGCTCAGCAAGTGTCTACTTGGCACCTACAGTTCTGAGGATTAAGAAGGTAGTTGGGACAACCTCCTCTTTTACAGGGACCTCCCAGCTTGTATGGACTTTAGAAGACAAAGTAACGGGGTGACTATTTGGATGTAGGGAGGGAACCATTGTGAGAGGAGGGATAGAGAGGATAGTATGTGGGGGCAAATAAGAGCCAAGTGCAGTGAAACACACACACACATGCATGCACACATGTGCACGCACAGACACGCTTACACACACACACACACATGCATGCACCAATGTAAACTACGATTTTGCAAGCTGAACAGTACCTGCACAGTCAGAATTTGTATATTTCAATATCTATAAATCTTAGGGTAGAAGCACAAATGCAGGAATGGCATTTAATGCAGCAGCATGGCAAGGCATGAAAGTTCATTGACTGTTTCATTTACTTAGTATGAATCTAAAGTTATTCATAACTCATGCTTGCATTATTCCATTCATTGATGTTCAGGAATAGCTCAGGATCTGAATAATCGTTTTCTCTACAGTCGGTCTAGTCAACTCTTTTTTTTTTTTTCCACAAGTTAAGCATAAGGTTGGGCCAACCCATCGTTTGTCTTCTAAACGGTTTGGAAAATACATTTATTTTTATTTCATGTGTATGAGAGTTTTGCTGCATATATTCATGTATACCAAGTGTGTATGTCTGGCATGTGCAGAGGTCAGAGAAGGGTGGCAGATCCCTTGGAACTGGAGTAATGGATGGCTGAGAGCCACCATGTTATTGCTGAGAACTGAACCCAGGTCCTCTGCAAGAGTAGCCAGTGCTCTTAATTAATGAGCCACCTCTCCAGCCCCTTTCCTAAATGTTTTATAGTTTACTTAAAAGTTTTGGTGGTTCACCTTCCCTCCCTTAGCCCTGTGGAGTCAGGGATGATTTTCCTCTTGCCACTCTTGATCCTGAAAGTTTTGGCTTGGCTGTCCTCTAGGAAGATGCTGCTGGGCACCCTTCCTGTTTTCTCTTTCTCAGAGCAAATCAAGTCCTGGATTACAGATGAAATACCGCTCAGGTCAGAGGCTTTCCTCAGCCTCCCTGGCATACGGACTGTAGCTTCTAGTTCTATTCAGGGACTGGAAAGGAGAAAAACGGCACAGAACCAAAAGACTTGTCCTGCCCCCTCCCTCCCTCCCTCCATCCTGCAGATGGACAGCCAGCCATTCTGTTGGCTTTCTCTATCGGGAAGAAAAAGGCAACAACACTCTGTGGTCAGATCCCTTGAAGTCTGAAGCAAGTTTACTGCTGAACCTAGCAGGCGATTGTATTTTGTCAGACCAGGCTGGGCTGTTTTCCTGTATGCCAGGACTTGGAACTGGAATGTCTTTCTGGGTTCTTTAAGTTCTGCTAGGCAAAGTGGGCAGGGAAGGGGGCTGACTTTCAGTGTCTGCTAAGTAGGGTTAAGGGTCTGCTCCACATGGACCGACTCCCTGGTCCAGTGGTTGGTTGGTCGGATGAATGTTAGTCGGATGAATGTGGGTGGGGGTGGAAAGTGGCCCTGGGAATCTCTCCCTAAAGTTCAGGTTGGACTCTAAGGGGTCCCAGATAGGCACAGAGGAGGCGTTATTGAATACACATCCTAACTAGGGCACTCACAAAGTCTCTTCTCCCTCCTAAGGCCATGGGCATTTGCTGAATAGATGATGGGATTTCTTCCACATCAGGGTAGTGACGATAGAGAGAGCACTTTCAACATGTGAGACTGTTCATCATGAATTGAAAAGTTGTCTTGGGGTCTACTTTTCAGAGAGAGAGAAAGAGAGAGAGAAAGAGAGAGAGAGAGAGAGAGAGAGAGAGAGAGAACCAAAAACATGAATTCTAACCAAGATAAAGCAAAATTGTCTGCCTTTTCCATTGCTGTTTGTCTTTCAGTACTTTTGACTGCACACACAGGTATCTCCCTAAAACGTCCTTTGTACTCAGTAGTAGCATTCTTAGTTTACATGCAGTCAGGCTCTTGAGTTTTTTTTAACGTACACACGTGTGTGTGTGAGAGTGAGTGTGTGTGCACCATGGTCTCTGAGGATTGCCAGCAGCAATAGTCAAAATAAAGGTCTAACATGAATTCCCACTGTGTATGTTCCCAGAGAGTAATTATCCATGTTTCATTGCTAATGAGAAAACCTGCCTTGTAACGGGGTTCCCTTCTGTCACGGATATTTCTCATTTGTTAAGGTAAAAGACATATCAATCATTCCGTTTTGAAGCGGAGCACTCTCTCTGTGTGCCACATACAAGGACATCCAGAACTGCGCTATGTATTCCATGCCTCCAAAGAGGCCAAGTCAGGCCCCCAAGCCCCAGTTTCTGCACTGCTGAGCAGTGCAGCAGTGCTTAGCGCAGGGGGAACCAAGAGGGGCGGACACCTCTTTTTCCTGCATCCTTCTCAGCTTCACAAGAGCCAGCCTTTCCTGTTCAAGTCCCAGCACCTTCCCGAGGAGATGGACCATCAGAGGGACAGTCCTCAGTCCCCAGACCCCAGCTGCTAAGGAACTTGGGCAGCGGTGGCGGCAGCAGGGGCGGGGGGGCATTGAGGGAAGCAGTTGGAGAAAGCTGCTCAGCTAGTGAGTTCTGGCAGTAGAAGGCCTCCCTCCACCAGCGAAAGAAAACACCGCCTTCAGGCTCCATTCTTAGGCTTGCTGTGGTTCTCAGCTGAGCCACAGCCAGGCGGATGAAGCTTTGTGCTTTCAACTTGTCTTTTGTCACGGTCATCTCCTCTTCCTCCTCCAACATACTGACTGTGCAGCGAACGATGTTTAGAGGGAAAATAAGCCCAATAAGAAAAAAATATAAAAATTCTTAGTTCTGATCATTGTGACCTTAAATATAGGCAAAACCATGTATCCTCTGATGTCTATAATGTCCCTGTACACCGATAGGAAGCAGAGAAGAAGTCAAAGAGTATTTGGGCCTAGGAAGCATGAGTCAAAGGCCAAGGAATTCCACACCACTTGCTCCACATGGGACAGAGTCAGCGGGCCCCAGTGAGCCCAGGAATTCTGTCCAGCTGATGTTCTTGCTTCTGTTAAATGCTCCTCACTGGCTTTCATTAGCTCCATGTCTTTACTGTGCACTGATTTTTTAGAACTGTAGCAGCCCGTCTCGGGGAAGCAGCCCAAGTCTGACAGGTGAGATAACACCGGGGTAGAAAAGTAGGTGGCCTGTCGACCCTGGCTTCCAGCTTTCTTGCATGCTGTATATACAGGAGCCGCTAGGGACCTTCGAGGTAACCTGATAAGGCTGCTTTGGAGGCACCATCTCCAAAGAGGCTCTGAACGCACAGTGATCGTCGTTCAGTAGATATTTGTTGTTGCTGTTGATTTAAAGGGCTGGAAACCACCAGGAGCTTTGG